CTTCCGATTTGATTTGAAACTGTCTCATTGCTATGTTTATCAAAACTGTAGAAAAAATAAATAAATAAATAAATAAATAAATATTTCCTACACTTAACCTCCACTGTTCCTGAAAATTCATTCTTTGATTAATATTTCCCCTATCTCATTTGGAGGTCCTGTATCATAGCCATGTTCCTTTTTTCAGGAGGAAGGCTAAGGCTGGAAAATGCTATGACTCTTGAGAAAGATGATAAACTTGAAACCTAGGAACCAGGAGTGAAAATACAGTACATACCCATGGCTGTCTACTCAAAACATCTAACATTCATGGCTTCTGTTGGATGGAAATCTGATTTCATCAGATACTTGGGACATCTGATGGTGCTAAGCACCTGTCTAAATTAAGAGCCTTCATTCCTTTTCACTTGCTAGATGATCTTTTCCTCCAAATTACTAAGGTTCTTTAGGTGGAATGTGACTGATCGTGTTTCTCAGTGTGAACTGTGTGTGATGGCTTGCCAGGATAAAGAACTAGAAGAGGAGAGGGAAATATCAGCCACTAATCTGAATTCATCTGGGGAACCTCCTGGGTGACCAGGTTCACAGTGGAACATGGACTTTCTGCTTTGTCTTGATTTTCTGCTGCAATTTGTCTTAGCAGTTATACAGTCCCTGTCAAACTCCTACAGAAAGACTGAAGATTTTTATCTATTGGGATTTTTGTTCATAAACCAATGGAAGATGTAAATCTCGCTATATAACTCATTTATAAATGGAAGCTGTAATATGTTACATTTTTATGGATGATAATTTGACAATATATTCCTGGCATAATCAGAATGCCAATATATTTTTTAATGAACTAATGATTTTTTTTTTTTTTTTGGGCAGGACTGGGGATTGAACTCAGGCATTATTCAACTGAGCTATCTTCCCAACCCCGAACTAATGAATTATTAAAATGTGCTTTTCTTTGGCCTAGTAATTCCATCTGTACACGAATATACCAGACAAATGGGAAAAACTGCAAAATAATAAACTAGAACCATCTAAATCTAAACAATTACTTTGTGGTAGCTTGATAAAAATGAAGCATTTGTCTCTCAGCAAAAATGAGTGCAACTGGGCTGGGAAGGATAGCTCAGCAGCTTAAGTGCCTGCCTGACAAGCACAAGGTCTTGAGTTCAATCCCAAATACAAAAAAAAAAAAAAAAAAAAAAAAGAAAGAAAAAGAAAAAAAGAGATGAGTGCGGTTTTTGTTAGCTATAAAACATTCATAATACATTTCTCAATAAACAAAGCATGAATCTATTTTAAGTACATGTCTTTTTATACATTATAAAACCCTTCACTGAAACATTGGACCACGTTGAGACCTTATAATTTTCCAGTTTCAAAACCTAATAATACATGCACAGCATGTATGTGCCAAATACCCAATGGGCTCTCAGGTGCTATCCCATGTTTGTGCAAGGAAAATAATACATCAAATAGAATAAAGACTAACAATGGCCTTACATCACTTCATCTCAGGTTTTGCCAAAGGGCTTGCATCAAACTTAGGAAAAAAAAACTTTATTGCAAGCCAAATACATACCAAAATCAGTTAATGCAAACTAGCAATTACTTCTGGGTACTGGAATTATCAATGTCCCCCTCATTTTCTAAACCACTGGTAACCCATTACACATTTTTTTTTAATCTTTCATTTATTTGTTTGGTACAGGGTCTCGCTATACAGCTCAGACTTGTCTCAGCCTCCCCAGCACTGGGATTACAGGCATGTGCCACCAAACACAATTGCAGTGGCCGGCTCTGCACAGGGCTGGCACAGCATGCACTACCAGGGATCAAACCCGGGTGCTTGCAGTTGCCAGACAGGCCTTTAGATCCCCAAGCTATCTCCCCAGCCCTACACTTTTTGTTATTGTTGTTTAACAGTTAGTTGTTTTAAGCTAACTTACGGTAAACCAAATTTACCATAAAAACTCTGGAAAGACTTCAGTAAAGGCTCTTTCCCTCAACACAAAAATCAAATTTTGGAATACAACTACAAGGTGCATAAAGTTCAACAAGACTGCAGAGCTACTTCTGCCAGGCGCCAGACTTTCATATCATATTGTACATTAAACACATTTATCCAAAGAAAGTATTAAAGGACAGAGTTCCAAAGCTTCAGAGTTTGTTTATTCTGATATTTCATTTATTCCACCTGAGTGATGTCTAGCTTATCCCACTTTCAAACAGCCCATATCTCAACTCTTCAAATATACTGGATTTACCAGTCAAGTGCACTTTCTACCCAACTGCAATTCAAGGTTAACAAGTGTGAAAGCCATCTACCTCCACACATGGCATGAGAGGCTTCTTAGATTCAATGCCACTCAGATTACAACTGACATATACATATTCCAGATGTTTATCACAGAATGACAAGACCCAAATGTATGAGCCCTCCATGTTTGTCAAAGTTCAGTTGCAAAAAAGAAGTGAAGACAAAAGCATGCCCAGTCTATCCAAATTTCCTTGTATTATAAAAATGTTATCACTGCACTGAATGAAATATTAGCACTTAATTCACTACATAGCAATATATATCACTCCATTTTAAAATGTCTACCAATTTTACTGAATTGCAAGTTGTGGTAAAGCCAATAACTTACACTAAAGATTACTGATTAGAAAAACAACCCATGACATGTATCTTTCCATCCTAGGTAGCTTTAAAGGGTAGCACTGACACCCCTTCTTGTCAAGATCCACCCAAAGAGGAATTCCGCCTCACTGCTATACAAAAGTCCACCAAACTGTTTTTATGTCATAGACAGTGGCTTGTATATTTTATACATTTTTGTGTCACTTGCTACAGAATTTAATTCTAAGTTTGTGACTCATTCTCAGAGCATATGACAGCTAACTCATTTATATTTTTATACTTAGTGCTGGATTTACTTTTCTCAGTTGTTTCTCAGGCTTTTGGCTAAGATCAAGTATGGGTTTACTTTTCTACCTCATTTTAAACTCATACTCTTTCATCACAGCTAAGAAATCTCTTTTGTAAATAATGCACAATATATTGCTTCACATTTCTGCCACATTGTTACTACTTGGGGGCACTGTTCTAATCACTACCTTACATAATACATACATGCTTATATATTTGTTGTCTGTGTCCTGATCACACCCAGAGTATGACACAAAAAAACTGGAATAATTTTTCTCAAGTAACAATGTTTAGGCTATATGATCTCTGACATTCAGCATTAGTTTTCAAGAAGTCAAATGTACTTATATTTGCAAATTTTCTCTAAGTCCATATGCATGACTGGTTGGCCCAATCCCAAACATTATTCCCTAAAGAAATATTCTGAAATACACAATAGCACCAGGCACAAAAATACTAATCAAATTTATGACAGAAAAAAACTGGAAATGGCAAAATATTCAATGACAGGAAAAGTACATCCATAAAATGTTGATCATGTAGCCATTAAAAATTATTCATTGAATTTTAATAACAAGAAAAATACTATTGAAAAACAAGAAGGAAAAGCACTGGAAACAAACCAATATAATGTATTTAAATATCAATCATCTTTGCCTCAAAAATATGCCATGAACAGTTTACTTTTTACCATATTTTCCAAATTTGATTTAATTTTACTTTACAACAATAATTTGACACAAAGGTAACAAAAGTTTCTATTGTTGTCGTTAAAATCTTAGATGCTGTTTATTTACTATAGGTAAGCATCTCATTTAGAACATAAAATAAGCATTGGTAAATACAAGAAATTCTATACCTTCACTGCTACATGAAGTTTTGCAGTTTTCTTGGACGGTCCTGAGGCTTCGTATGTTGTACCATCCACATCCACAGACATTGTGAAGACTGGAGCATGGACAGGGCCAGACTGAGATAACAGCTTATACTGAAGCCCAGGCCTGATCTGATTGAGCCTCATTAGTGCATTCATAAGGTCTATTGCTTTACTATCCAGGACTGTTGAAGAGAAATGAGATCAGAAGTCAGCTAGAAAGCCATTTTGGGGGCTGGTGAGATGGCTCAGTGGTCTAAAGCACCTACTTAGAACAAGCTAAGCTCAAGCAAAGCACAGAGACCTCGGTTCAATCCCCCAGCACCACATGCTGGCCTGCCCGCCCCCTGGTGGGCTGAGCTGGCCACACACTAAATAAATAAGTAAATAAATAAATAAATATAAAAAAAAAAGAAAGAAAGAAAGCCATTTTGCCTTAATCTTGCATTTGTAGTTTGCTAATAACCATTATAAATTTATCAAGTATTTAAAAATGAGATTCTTAACACACATAAATTAACTTCATAAGTAGTTCTAATATAACTCAATGATCATACTGAAAATTATAAAAATAGTATACATAACTGTATCTATACATTAATTTCTACTTCTGAGTATTAGTCTACAAGGAAGCTTGGAAATGAAAGTTGTTCAAGTATTAATTTCTCAGTTAACATTTATCCCTAAACTTCTAATTCAATTTAACCTAATTCTTTCCTTTCTATTTTTTTATTTGAGGCTACAAGTTCTGTCCAGTTTACAGAAAGAATAATAAAGATTTTACATACTTTTCCTTAAGTTTCGCTTCATCTTCTTATTGGGATCTTTATCATCCCCTAATCCATCTTCAAAAGGCCTCTTTAGAGCTGAAGAACCAGCACCTAAAAAAATGAGAGGGTCAGTGTTAGTCAAGCAACAACTGCATGTACTCTAATACATTCAGGTGAAAGAAATCTCAGAAACTACACACAAGGACTTTTGCTGATAATTAAAACTACCATACTTACAATCTAAAAGAGCAAAATGTTGAAACATAAATTTTTTTTAAATAGCGTAGTATCAATTTTTATATTTATTTTGCCATTCACTCAGACACAGAAATACCTATACGTGTGCAATGGTCTGAATGTTTCTATCCTCCCCAAATTCTGATGTTGAAACTTAATACCACGTACAGTACTGCTGAGAAGAGCATATGCGTGGCGACAGTGCCTTTATAAAAGAAGCCTGAGAGTTGTCTGTCTGTCCTACCATGTGAAGACACATAACAGGTGCCATGTGTAAAGAACAGACCCTAATGCTAACCCCAGCCCTAATCTTCACCAGACACCAAGTCTACAGGAGCCTTAGTCTAGGACTTCTCCCTGTCAGAACTGGGGATACTGTATTTCTATTGTTTACAAACTACCTAGTCTAAGATACTCTGTTACAGCAGCTCAGGAAGACTAATACAAAATATTCAGATCTGTTATATGTACGAACACAAAAGGTTTGGAGGGCCAGGCTCCAGCATGCAGGAGGCTGAGGCAGGAACATCACAAGCTCAAGGCCAATCTGAGGTACGGTCTGAACTACATAGTGAAAACCTGCCTGAAAAGAAAGGGGGGGAATAATTTAAAATGTCTGCAAAGCTCTGTCTTAAGTTGTTTGTTTGTTTGTTTGTTTTGGTTTGGACTCTTAGTGATCCTCCTATTTGCAGTTTCTCCAGTACTGGGGATACAGGCATGCACCACCATGCCTGATCTCGGTGGCCAGCTCAGCACACCCGGGAGCAGGGCCAGTACGGCATATAGTGCTGGGGATCAACCCACTGTCCATGTACTTGCCTAAACAGGCACTTAGTCCACTGAGCTATCTTGCCAGCCATTTGTTTTTACTTATGCCTTCTCAAGTATTTTCCAAATTTATACAAGTAATTTAAACAAGTATTTTTATTATACTACACATTTTGAAAGTCAACATATTAAAAACATCTTAGGATTTCAGAAATGTGATTATCAAAGTATAAAATATCGGCTGGGAGATAGCTCAGCGGCATAAGCCCCTGCCTGGCAAGCACAAGATCCTGAGTTCGAGTTCAATCCCCGGCACTGGGGATGGATGGATAGATAGACAGATAGATAGATATTTCTTCTCCTCTTCAAATCCTATTCAAGATTTACAGTTGCCCTTCAGCACAATTTCTCTCATACCAATTTTTCAACAGAGTGACTACAGTATCTTTGATGTCCTCCAAGAGTCTCATGGGTTCAGAAGGTAACTGGATCCTGGGGGTTTGTTCAATTCATCAGTGACTTCCCATCCTAGTGTGCTCTTAGGAGATAGCACCAAATTGTAGGTGAGCCCTGGGGGCACGCCTTCAGGAAGCACTCTACCTCCTGAGCACCTCCGCTAGAGCAACTTTCCTTTACCAGGTGTTCTGCCTTGGAGCCAGCCAACCACAAAATGAACCCTCTGAAAAAGTGAATCAAAACAAACCTCTCAAGTTATGCCTATAAGATAGCTATTTTGTCCTAACAACATTAAAGTAACTGCCACAGTCTTGCATCCTTGCCACTTTCATATATTTATTTTACTCTTGTGTGTCCTTAAACTGATCTTCAAAGACCAAAGACATTTTCTCCTTAACAGATGCAGAAATAACATAATGGGTATGGAACCAAGGCAGCAGCTTTGGTGTCCAAGTTTTTTAATAATCAGAGAAGTGCATCAAATGTCCAAGTATGTTAAATAATTCCTTATCATCAACTTAAAAGTTGGCTGTTACATTTTTCCTAAATGTACGCTCCAGGTATCTGTGCTCAAGATATGCTGTGCTCAAGATACTCACGCCACCAGGCTTCCAGATAGTTCTACTGAAATTTATAGTAACACCAGGATACATATTTCTGATCATCAGGATTTATTATTATCCTTGGGGCAAACATTGACTTCAACATTTGCTTTGGGTCAGTATTTACCACTCAGGTCAATCGCTCAATCAATTTTGATGTTCTCTTTAAGAGAAGGCGGTAGTATCTGCTTAGTATTACATTTCACTTACTTTACATAAAACTTGTGAGTTTGCCCATCTCCCAGAATGCAGTCTTTAAGAGATAAAAGTTAAAAAGGAACAATGTCTATTCAATTACTCTCATACTCATTAAATTATGTTAAAAGCAATTCCCAGACTGACTGGAATTCACAAGCTGGTTAAATGCACAGATCTATTCTCTAAATCCTTCAGCTATATAAATATAGATCTGTGTTTCAAGTTTCATTAACATCCTAGCCCCTGGAAAATGCTTAAAAATCTGAGGCTAGTAAAAGTAACAGGGAAAAAAATAGGTTGGCTTTACAAAGGCAAGGTAGTTTTTAATCTGTATAGTTTCTAGTAATGAAAAGTGATCACAATATGCAAGTGCTTACTAGATGCCTGGTACTACTCCTAATGCTTCACATGTATGAACTCATTTAATCCTCATTAGCATTCTATCATACCCATGATAAAGTTCCGTGTACATTCATTTAACCCGAAATGCTATTTACTACAAACAAGATAATTTTTGGTGCTGAACAGAGTATTGTAGTTTTCATTATAGAGATGGTTCACTTCCTTGATTAGAATAATTTCTAAATTTCATTTTTCTTGATGCTATTGTGAAAGTGATTTTTCCCTAGTTTTTCTTAGTGAATTTGTTATTGGTGCACATAAACATCACTGATTTTTGAGTGCTTACTTTGTATCCTGTTGTGTTACTGAATTTGGTTATTCTAGAAGTCTTCTGGTGGAATTTCTGCAGTATTCTATATCATCTACAGATAATGATAATTTAATTTCCTTTTTTATTCGTATCTCATTTCTTTCTCTTCTCTAATTTCTCTGCCTAATGTTTCAGAGGCTACACTAAACAGGAGTATAACAGTGGATATCCTTCACTTATCTCTGACTGTAGAGGAAAATCTTTCCGCTCAGTGATCAGGAGACTGGGTGTGTAGATGGAGCACTTCCAGTGGCTGTGATGGGGCTGCTACTCAAGAGGAGATTGCATGTTGGGAGTGAGATGCAATATCTAACCATGCAAATCTGATGGAGGCATTCTGAGTTGAAGGCCTAAAATCACCGATGCAGAGAAAAAAACTCCATGATAGAGGAGACTAAGTGAGTTAGTACAAATAAGGAGAAAAAGTCTAAGACCTGGACCCTGGGACACTACACTATTTAGAAGTCAGGAAAATGACAAAAAACAAGATGACGGAGATGGTGGTGGCCAGAAAAGCCAGGAAAAAATGATGACCTGGAGATCAAATGAAAAATGGTATTTCATTTCAGAAAAGTGCCAGACGGAAACCAAACAATGCTGTGGATACAGGACAAGAGCTTCCATGAAGTGTTGGTGGGTGGATAAAGTGGTATATTCAACAAATTACTAGTTCATTTATGCACTACAGTAACTACAAGACACAAATCTCAGAGGCATGTTAAAAAAAACTTCCACCAAGCCAAGTAGTGGCACCAGCCTGTAAATTTCAGCACGGTGAAAGGTTGAGACAGGAGGATCTAAGATTTATGCAGTCTGGGTAAATTAGTGAGATACAGTCTAAAAATAGGGAGTGGGGGGGAAAGGCTGGAGTTGTAGCTCACTGTGAAAGCCCTAGGTCCAATCCCTATTTCCATGAAAAAAGTAAAAATTAATTTAAATTAAATTTTAAAAAAACATGGCCAAGTATGGCAGCACATACCTGTAATCCCAGCACTTGGGAAGCTGAGGCAGGAGGATCATCATGGGTTTCAGGCCAGCCTAGGCTACAGAGTGAGCTCAAGGGCAGCCTCAACTACATACAGAGAATATGTCTCAAAAAATGAATTTAAAAAATCACCTCTCACAATCATACAGTGGGTGGTTGTCAAAACTAAAGAACGAAAATATCCTTCAAAAGGAGAATGGAAGCCAGGTGTGGTGATACACACCTGTAATCCCAGCACTCTGGAGGGTAAGAAGGATTGACATGAGTTTGAAGCCAGTCTCAGCTACACAGTGATTTCACGGCCAGCCTGGACTGCATAATAAGATCCCAGCTGGGAGGTAGGGAGGAAATCAACCACAAAGTAATGCAGCACCATGAATTAGTCCCAAAAACTCTGGGCAGGCTGTGAGAGTGATCTGGCTATGCCACTTGTCACCCCCTAGTGATTTCCAGGCTTGATTTGGCTAAACTGGCTGGCTAGGTGGGTGTCTCCATGTTCCCTCAATGCTCCATGTGTGTCTCTCCAGTGTGCTCAATAGTAATGAGGACAAGCACCGCTGATAGAGGAGGACCTTTTCCTCAGTCAAGGGGATTTACAAGTAGCTGCACTCCCAACCTAAACCTCCATATAAGCTCTCAAGGTCTGCCCCCCCCCAAAAAAAAAAAACAGAGAAAAAGAAGCCAATCACAAAAAAATTAAACTCAGGATAGTTCTATTTCTAGAAAGTTCTGGAAAAAAACAAGCTAAATTATTTCAGAAAGCATATACAGGGCTGGTGAAATGGCTCAGTGGTCTAAAGCACCTACTTAGAACAAGCTTAGCAAAGCACAGGGACCTTGGTTCAATCCTCCAGCACCACATGCCAGCTAGCCCCGCCCCCTGGTGGGCTAAGCTGCCCCCCACACACACACATAAATAAATAAAATATTTTTAAAAAAAGAAATGAAGAAACTTTAAAAAATAAATAAATAGGGCTGGTGAGATGGCTCAGTGGTCTAAAGCACCTACTTATAACAAGCTAAGCGAAAGCACAGGGACCGCGGTTCAATCCCCCAGCACCACATGCCAGCCAGCCCCGCCCCCTGGTGGGCTGAGCTGGCCATACATACACAAAATAACGAAATAAATAAATAAATAAAATTTTTTAAATAAATAAATAAAAATAAGTGTTTTTAACCTTTGTTCTATGCAAATGCTTTACCTCATAATCAAATAAATATGGAAGAAAAAAATGTCCATCTGTGTCAAAAACTGCCAAAAAGTAGGCTAAGATGAGGAATAAAAACAAATCACTGCTGAGTGTAATAGCAGGAAGGTCTCAAGCAAGATTTCAGTATAGGATCAAGGAAGAAAGCCTGATCAGAACAGATTCAAAAGAGAATGAAAAGTGAAGAAAATGAAAAGAAATAGGCCACTTTTTCTAAAAATACTACCCAAAAATGGGCCTGAGAAATGGAACTTTGCTGTTGGGGGAGCTACACAACGGAGGAGAGCTCCCTTTGTTTTGTCTCTCAGATGAAAACATAGCACAAAAGGTTTCCTGCTGATATAGAAGACTCAGGGGAATAAACTGATACTGGGGAAGAGGAGTGAATTGGTAGAATACTGTTTCCTGGTAAACAAGAACGGTTATGACAAAGTGGACCCAACATAAAAGTTAGTCATTAGAGGCAGATGGCTTCATCCACAGGTGAGAGAAGGAAAGCAAAGAGTATGAGCTGATGAAGCCAGGCTGGCTGACACGAGTAGGGAGAGCACGTTCTTAATCTAAGAAAACAGAAACAAGTAAGGCCAACATAAGAGAGATGAAGTAGAGATGAAGAAGCGAAATCAAAAATGTGAGAAAAATTACCGAAGAAAGCTGACGAATTCTCACACACACAAGAGAATTGTCAGAAAACACAAATAGTGTCTGTGAGGTTAGTGTCACAGACACAAAGGGACTGCTTTTCCCCAAACATGTTGGGCAAGCATAGTGTAGAGATGGACTGCATGCAGCCATTCAAAATACAGTGCGAAAGAGACTGAGAAAGCAAAAGTATATGCCAGCAAGTCAGCACATGTCTGAGCCAGAACATATAGGCAAGATAAAGACAGAAGTAAGACCATGAGGAGAATGAGGGATGCAAGGGTAAAGTCATAGGAAGTTCAAGGGATTAGAGCACCAGATGGAGTGGTAGTGAAGAGGAGGCCAGAAAGTGATACTCTTACAAAGCAATTATAAAAAAGGTACAGTCATAGTTATTGCTAAAGACAAAGTACAAGGGATGTCCATGAAATTGGTAATTGAGGTAAAGTGGAAAGGGAAATTATGTGAGAGAGAAACTGAGACAGCAGTTTTGGGAGGAAACCACCTGAACGAATATTAAAATTGCCAAGAATTATAAGATCAAGTTTCAATGTGAATGCGAGGAAGTTAGGTACTAAAAGCATGAAAGACCATTTTCTAACACAAAAAAGTACAGTGACAGCCTATCAGTGGTAGCAAATCTATGGCACGCAGGCCGCAGCAGGCTATTTGTTATCACTGAAAGCTCTAAAAGATTCGCCATCACTCGCTAGGTGACACAGCAAATAACTGACAGAACTGGAATAGTAATACTAGCACTTGGTATTTTATGCTCTACTCATAAGGTGACAGACCAAGGGTTCCTGAACACCTGAGAAAGAACTTTAAAGCTGAAAAAACAGAGGCTGGGCTATGTGGTGCATGTCCAAATCCCAATATTGAGGAGGCTGAGGCAAGAGGAATGCTTAAGAGTGAGGCCAGGCTCAGCTAGTGAGTTTAACTACCTAGTGAGTCTGAACTACACAGCAAAACCCTAACTCAAAGAGGGAGCGAAAGAGAGGGGAAGGGAAAGGAAAGGAGGAAAAGGGAGGAAATAGGAAGGAGAGAGAAGGGGGATTTGAATTTAAAAAAGAACCAACGTTACTTAACAGATATACTATACCTTTACTAACCAGTGGAGAACAAAAGTGCTAAATCCAGTCACATCGAATTTAGTGACTGAAATTTTAGAGAGCTATACTTGAAGTCATGAGGACATAAATATCCCTTTCGTTAATTTCACTGCCAATGCAGGTGGCATACACCTGTAATCCCAGCACTCAGGAAGCTGGACAAGAGGATTGCCCCAAGTTAGAGGCCAGCCTAAGCTACACAGTAAGTTCAAGACCAGCCTGAACTATATTTTGAGGCACTGTCTCAAAAAAACCGAAACAACCAAACAAATTTCACTGCCAATGAGTGAAGATACACTAAAAGAAAATGGCTCTTCCCACACATTTTACTGAGTACTGCTTTATAACAATAATATGGAAGAATCTACTGTGTAGTGAGACCCTGTACTAAACACATAACAAAAGGAAGAGAATCTAGATAATCCTTCCTTTGAAGACCATACAGTATGAGACAATGATCTAGCTCAGAACCACTTTATATTCCTAAGAAACTGTAGTGAATCCAGAGGGCTTTGCCTTTTAGGTAATAGTTACCAATATTTAGTATGACAGAAACTGAAATCTGTTAAACACAAGAATATACAAGGACACATTCCTTTAACTGTCACAGCACTGATGTCATCACACAACCCATGTGTTAAGGCTGTGTCTAGATGTCCCCCTTAAACCCTCATGCAGTCATGGGTGGGATTTTTCGGAGGTGGCTAGATTTAGGTTGTGTGATGCTAGGATTAAGGATGTATGGTTAACAAATTAGTCCACTGCTGGGTGTGGCAGAGTTCTGGGTGGGGATAATGAAAAGGTCCACCCTAGGTGGAATGCTACCTCCTAAGAGCAGGAGCTTGGATGGAAACAAGGGACGAACAGAGGACTGATGTTATCGCTTGCTGCAGCTGCAGCTTTTGATACCTTTTGCCTGCCTACCTTGCCATGAACTGTTCCCTTTCTATAATGCCTCTCCTCATGTCACTCTACCTTGGAACCAGGCAACTATGGAATGAAAACCTCTACAAACTGTGACACAAACATTTTACCTACTTTCAATTTGAGTGTTGAGTATTTTGTCACAGCAATGAGAAACTAAGCCTCTATGTTAGTCTCTGTTAAAATGTATAATCATGAAGGAGTAGAAAAGGCATAAATAGGCCTTAATACTGACATTATGAAGCAGTTTTGATCCTGGGGACTACCTAAGTACACCTAGACACCTACAACAATTGTTGCAATTAAACTGGGCAACTCTTCACATTTTTGTCATATAGGAATTATTAGAGTAAGATCAACTGTGGGAGGAGACAGCATCGACAGTAAGGAATATCTAATACTAGGCACCTTACTTCCTAGTATGACAAGGAAAGAAGGAGATAAGAAGGTAAGTGTTTGCTATGGCACAGTGAGGACAGTAAGGAAATTTACATTCGCATGTGTGTGCTTTCTTCCAGGTACTGAGCCAAGTATTTAAACCAGACAAGAGAGAACAGAGTAAGAAAAATGGTAATAGTCCTACCAAGAAAAAGGAACTATTTGTTCAAGCCTCAAAACAAGTAAGCAGAAGAGCTATGCTTGGAATCCAGGTCATATTGATCCCTGTTCTGCTTAAACTCTAATCCAAACTCAGACAAGTCAATACAAATGGAAGGCAGTCCAGAATTTTCCAAAATTCTTCTCCTCCTCCTCTATATTTTTGTTCTCTTTGTCACTACTTAACACTTTCAAACATGAAAGATCATCCAACTAAACAGTAATAGTAACAGGGTCCCCTCTTAGTTTATGATTTTGCTCCCTAAACTAGGGGTTCTCAAAGTATGGTCTCTAAGTCTAGGTAGGGACCACAAAAATCTGGCCAACAAAGCCAAATGAGTCAATTAATAATAAAAATAAATGATAACAAGCAGATGTCACCAATGGAGACAGAGCCAAGAAAAGCAGAAACTTTTTTTTTCTTCTTTTTTTTAGTTTGTGTGTGTGTGTGTGTGTGTGTGTGTGTGGCCAGCTCAGCCCACCAGGGGGCAGGGCTGGCTGGCATGTGGTGCTGGGGAATTGAACCGTGGTCCCTGTGCTTTTTTGCGAAGCTTGTTCTAAGTAGGTGCTTTAGACCACTGAGCCATCTCACCAGCCCCCAGAAACTTTTCTTATAGATGACCTGGATAAGCAATAAGTCCTTTAAGCTCTAGCAAGACCATCACTGCCAACCCTTATCACTAATTTAAGAAAAACTTTTACACTTACCTTCTTTGTCAGTAATTGACCAGGAATACTTCTGAAAGGGCTTACTAGATGGAAGAGGGTCCATCTCCAACACTTTATAAATCTGGCCAAAGGCTGACAGTCTGAGTGCATGCTAAGGAATAAAACATATTAAATCAAATGTCAATAGCCATTAATAAATCGTTTCTATCAAGCTAAAATGACATTCATTAAATGCAGCTATTACGATAGCAAAAGTCTCTAAAAGCACGTAAGAAAAAGATGTTCAAATAGAACAGTTCAGAAAATAAAACTCTGATACACACACAGATGCATGCAGTCCCCTACCTGTGCACTATGGGTAATGTCTTCTTTTTGCTGGACAGTCATATAGCTCAGAGCATCAGTCGGGTCTCGCTCACAAGGATCATGAAGACCAGGACCCCCTTTGGCAAAGGCAAAGGCAAAACAAAAATACCGTTTACAATTAAGTTTAGAATTCAATAAACTAACATAAAAGTGAGAGGAAAGAAAAGAAAACAAAAATCTCACTTAAGTGGGAGTATTTAAGGTGACTTCTGGGGGCGGGGGGGAGGTGCTGGGGACTGAACTCAGGACCTGCACTTGCCAGGCAAGCGCTCATGTCACTGAGCAATCTCCTTAGTTACATGAAGTAATCAGGACATGCTCACTGTGAATATATGGGCATTTAACTGTCCTTACTTTATACTAAAAATATAGCTAACACCAAAACGGGGCCTTACTCTGAAAATTTAGAAATTCTGTATTTCAGATGAAATCATCCCAAAATGATGAATCATTCCAAATTTTCAAAGGGATTAGAAATGGAATATAAGACCAGCTATAACTTTTTCCAAATTTTATACCAGACTGCAAAGAAAATGAACTTTCATACATTTTAAATAAACATCTGCATTTTCAAAACCAGACTTCTAGGTAAAGCAAATTCATAGCAGACAAAGTATCTTATTAGTATACTTTATGTTAGTAAATATAAAACTATTTAAAAAGTTTTACAGCACCTTTCTAATACACAAACATTCTAGTTCTTAAATTCCAAGCAAAATAACTCTTAAACATCATTTTCCTGTGCAGAGAACAAATTTAGTACATATTTAGACATACTAAAGTAAAAGGATGTTTTTCTGATTCTTCTGCCTCCAGAGTTTGAAACCCTTACCAGGAAGTAGTATTCCAGATGCCAAACACTCCATTACTCGTCTCAAGGCCTCCCCAGCGCCCAAAGGTCTATTACAAGTACCTATAGACTTTTCACATATAAGCTCTAGTGGCTAGAAGATATTAAATTACAAATTAGTACATGCACAAGTGTTAAAAGGAGTCCAGTTAAATGTGAGCTGACATTTCTATCTACAAGGGAAGCCAAAAAAGTGAGTCAATTTAACATTTCGGGCCCACTTAACTCTTCCCCATGATAATCAATCTTTCTTTTTTTTAACCCCAACCAGTTTTTTAAACCAAGTATTTCTCACCAAAGACTTTTTTTCAAAGACAGACTTTCACTATATAGTTCAGGCAGGCCTAGAACTCACTATGTAGCCCAAGCCGGCCTCCACCTTGCAGCAATCCTCCTGCCTCAGCCTGCCCAGCCTCCCTCGGATTACAGGTGTACACCAGCACCCCTGACTAAAACAAGCATTTCAGAGATATTCTCAGGGGACATTTTTTAACACAACCTTTTTACTTTTGGGTTTTCCTAAATCATTCAAAGAAACTACAGTGATCTAATTCATTTACCAAACTTCAACAAGCCTTCATACACGTTACTAATAGCTAATTACTAGCAAATGTATGAACCCAGCCCACATATACCCTACTTAACATTCTAGAAAAACATTCAAACTATAATGACCTCAATACAAGAGTAAGACTTAATTTCAGATAGCTTTGCCCCAAGTACTGTAATTAGAATGAATAAAGGACCAGATTTCTACGTTTAACAAACTGAAAACTCATGTTACTCTATTGAGGTAACAATTGTTAGTTTCTAATTTATAATGATTTTTTCATGGTTTTATCTAAATTGTTTTTTACTGTTTCGTAAGGTGAAATCTCGATTCGGTTAGGCAAATAATTTTTTTTTTGCAAATAATTTTTAAATTAGAGTCAATGATACAATATATATCATAAACTATGTCCTTATGAGGTTTACGTGTACTGTGTACTTGATTTCAATTACTCAGAAGAACTGACAGTGAATGTCTCCCATTGAAGAAAATGCTACAAAAGGTGTAAGATCCTTATTTGGGCATTCAAGTCACTTCCACTGTAACAGAGGCACTTAAAGAAAAATGGGCCACACAAAAAGCTATTATGGGCCACAGTTGACAAATGAGCACACAATCAACCACCAGTGGAAAGTTCAGGAAAACATTTACTTTTTGAATTGTGTTGGGTTGTGCTGTGTTGTGTTTTGTTTTTCTGAGACTGGGTCTCCTTATATAGAGTTCAGGCTGGCCTTAAACTTACTTTGTAGCCCAAGATGGCCTGACCCTCAAACAAGTGTTGGGATTACAAAAGTGAGTCACTAGGAGTTTGGCATGGTAGCACACACCTGTAATCCCAGCATTCCCAGCACTCTGGAGGCTGATGCAGAAGGATCCCATTCAGAGTTCAGGACCAGCCCAGATGACAAAATGAGCTCAAGGTCAGCCTGAACTACATAATGAGATTCTGTTTCCAAAAGACAAAAGACCCAAAGAAAAAAAAAAAAAGAAGGGGAGGGAGGGTTACCACAAGATGTAGTACACACTGGCCTCTAACTGCAGATCACTCCGCTTCAGCCTCCTGAGTGCTCAGACTGCAGCTTTGGACCAACATGCCCAACTAGACAAAATGACTAAATGCTATAAATACTTTTCATTAGGAAAAAAAAAAAATCAGAATCTGTACCATGAATGAGACAGAAGAGATAAGTTATAAACATAAAAAAACCAAATGCATATTAAAATGTTTTTTCCAAGTCAAAAAAAAACTAACCACTAACCTGAACTGGCTCAGATGTAGTCATTTTATAGGATCACGTAATTCCTATAGGACTGCCTCTGCTGCAGCTTCAAAGTTCAGAACTTACTTTTAACCATATTTATTTTTTTTTAATTTTTATTTTATTTACGTGTGGGTGGGTGGGTGTGTGTGTGTGTGTGTGTGGCCAGCTCAGTCCACCAGGGGGCAGGGCTGGCTGGCATGTGGTGCTGGGGGATTGAACCGCGGTCCCCGTGCTTTGCTAAGCTTGTTCTAAGTAGGTACTTTAGACCACTGAGCCATCTCACCAGCCCCCATATTTAAATACTTACCCATCCTTTTAATGGTGCCCACGTAGGGACTCTGTTACACAAATCACGTAGAATGCGTAGAACAATCACACATGATTTTAGTCCATTTGCCCTTGCCTAAAACAAACAAAATTATTCCAATATATCTGTTGAAATCAATTCTTCATTTTAAGCACACTGATCATGGATCAGTTTTCTAAAATACTAATTTGTCAGTCATTCATCAGTTTCAAACAAACTAAAGAAAAAACAAGTCATCAAAAGTATGAAACTGAAAAAAAAAAAAAAAAAAGTATGAAACTGTGGTTCCAACAGGCAGATGTTAGAAGTAAAAAAGAGCATGGTATTAAAATTCCTTTTGTAGCATCACAGCAACTCCATCTGCCTATTGCCTTTCTTAACTTTTAGCTTGTCTTGCCTGTGTTCATACTTTATAAGTCATCATTTAAAAATTTTTGGCATTAAGCTAAGAAGAATATAATAAAACATCATTAACTAATATAATAGAAGCTATTCTACGTATTTTACCTAAATTAATTAAATTACCCCAAAACTCTGAGGTATTACATACTGTACAAAGCCAGTAAGTAGCAGGTGTTCCAAATGAAGGGTACATAAGGACAGAATAACAGGAAGACAATAACAAAGAGCCAACCTGAAACCATTTGGCATGTCGGAGAGACGCCAAGGCATTCAGGCATTTCTGCCTGTCCAGTAAGTCCGGAGGATCTTTCATCGCAACATTTTCTAATGGTAAAATGGGATAAAGAAAGACAGATACAATTTGACCAACAGGTTCCTGTCAAATTACCGAACAGTAAAAAACAAAAAGAACAGTAATCTCTGAGTAAACTAGTAAGACTCCTAGAAAATTTCACAATTTGACACTGTAGGTTATTTTTTAAATTATGAATGCAATTAGTGAATAAAGTCTTGAGAGTGGGGTCTATACACAAGTATAATGGAACACAAAGGGATTCATCCAGTAAGCAAATTAGTAACCATGTCATCCTACAATCTGGGGTTTTATTAATAAGCATGAATAAAAACAGGGACAAAAGAAATACATAGCAGATTTTCCTTTGGCAGGGTACAAAGAAGGGAAATCTGGGAATAATAACAATGTTTTTTTTAATACAAGAAATTTTGATTACTGATCACTTTTAAGGAAACAAAAAAGTGTTACACATAAATACCCTCATTTCTTTTGTGAAGCAAACTATTAAAACTATAAGCACAATAAAGACTTAAAACATATTTCAAGTTTTCCGTATTTTTAAAAGACAGTTCAAAGACTGACATATTTAAAATAATATAAATATTTCTTGGGGAACATTTCATCCAATCCAATTAAGATTTACTATTCTATCATAAAAGCTCTCTTAAAATGTAAAAGAATACACCAACACTTCTTCCCAGTAGTCTCAAAACAGCAGCAAGGCTCAACAGTACATTTGTGTGGACCAATTGATACAACTTAAGTACTTTTAAAGGAAGCACAGGTCATTTTCAGGGACTCTTGCTGCAAATTCAATCATTTAATTCCCACAGATAAAATGCCATTAGCTAAACCTAAAAAAGTATAATGCCCAATAGAAAATGTATTATTTTAAAGGAAGAACTGTAGGTCTTTGTATTAGTTTCAACACTCTAAAGGATGAAGTGTTATACACATTTTTCTGACCAGGTGAGCTCTACAGTAGATACCTGCATTGTTTCCCCCGCCAAACATGTCACTACACAGGCTCTCATTTCATTATCTGCCCCGCTTTAACTCACGAAATGGGAGGCCTCAAAAAGAATTATTAATGTGTATTTACTAATAAGCATACAAATAAACTACAGGTGTTCATTGACAATGTAGCTACTGCATTTGCCCAACTTTTTCTTTTCCTTTTTGAACCAGGATCTCACTATGTAGGTTAGGTTACTCCTGAACTCACTACGTAACCCAGGTTGGCCTCAGATTCAGTAATCTTCCTGCCTCAACCTCCCAAGTGCTGGGATTACAGATATGCATCACCACACTGAATAATTGTGTCTTTACAATGATAAAAAATATACAACTAACTCATTTCATTGTTTCTTTGTCAAAACATTTAACTGTGCTCAATACAAGCATCTGTGTAAAGATCACACAGCAGGCTGGGGAGATAGCTCTGTGGTCTAAGCTCCTGCCTGGCAAGCACAAGGACCCAGGTTTGATCCCAGCACCACATGCCATGCCAGCCCCAGAACCCTGAGCGTGCCATGCCGACCACCAAAACCAGGCCTGGTAGTGCACACCTGTAATTCCAGCACTGGGGAGAGTGAGACAGGAGGATCACTAGGAGTCAGAGCTGAGTAGCAAGACCCTGTACCAAATTAAATTAAGTTAAATTAAACTAAATTAAATTAAAATGATTTTTAAAAAGATCACAGAATATAAAACTACTGTACATGAATGATTAGAATCTCTTAAAAGTTAAGACATGATGAAGGTTGACTAGCTATGTAACATAATCCACATGAAAGGCATAAGGTCTCACGTATATTTTTTTGACTCTTAATTTTTAAATTAATAGTAAAGCAATCCCTGGCAAGCTCAAGGGTCTGAGTTCAATCCCCAGTTCCACCTAAAAAAAAAAAAAAAAAAAGCAAAGCAAGCTACATTTTTCTCTACTATCTTACCAAATAGAAATGTTAGGAATACAGAAACAAAACAGGGAAGTGAAGCAAAGGAAGTCTGGATAGAAAAAGACAAGTCAGACTGAAATCTTCTTTATTCTTTCTATATTTCACTGAGTGCTCAGGCTTATAGACAATATCTTATTCTGATATGGCACAGAGATTTTTAAATGGGGAACAACTGAAAAATAGTTCACAAACTCTTCTTTCATCTGAAAGTCAAGATGATAATCCCAAAGTCTTATTTAAAAAACAAGACAGCTTACTGAAGGCACTGAACAGGAGACAATAAAGTCTACTGAAAAAAGAGATGACAGAGACACACACTGGGCAGACATTTAACAGTTTCCTTTTACATCAGCATCAGCATCAGCATGGCCAGATTTTTTCATGTTCTGATAGTCAACAAGTCAAAAGATCCAAAATGTTTCAATCACCAGAAGAGACATAATTCATTTCATTATATCTTCAGTTTTTGTATTAAACAATATTAAATCATATGCTACTACAGTGCTACTTATAAGACCAGTCTGCCTACTTCCTTTATGTAATTAATAATACAATATTTAATATATTTCCATTGTTTAAAAAAGTTCACTAATGTGGCAATCACTGAACTACTTCTAGGAAAACACGGCTACTTCTGGTAATAGAACCTCAAGTTTAATATTTCTGGACATATTTATAGGTGTTCTGATATTAGAAGAAAGGCTTTCAAAAATAAAGACATCTTGGAGTCCTTACTTAGTCACAATAGAATTGTGAGCTTTAGGGCCAGTGTGATAGCTCAGTGGGCTAAAGCACCTGCTTAGGCAGAGCACAGCAGCTGAGGTTCGACCCTGGGCATGCCTTGCCAGCCCCAGCCTCGCACCCAGGACACTCAGAGACAGCAATTAAGACTAGCATGGTGTGCCCACCTGTAAGCCCAGCACTTGGGAGGCTGTAAACAGGAGAACCACTATTAGACCCTTTAGACCTTGCCCTAAATACGGGGGGGGGGGGGGGGACGCGTGATCTTTTTCCTTTTATTCTTATAGTGATCAATGAAACAGGTAAGAAATAGCATGAAAGGTTACAAGGAGAACTGTTGACAAAAATGCCAACAACAACAAAAAATAGCTTTAAAATTTTTATTACTGGTAGGGCATATGGCACACACCTGCAATCCTGGCACTTGGGAGGCTGATGCAGAAGGATTGCTGCAAGTTCTAGGCCAGCCTGGGCTACAAAGTGAGTTGAGGGACGACCTGAACCACATAGTGAAATCTTGTCTCAAAAAGATAGGAAAAAAATTTATTATTTATGTTGGGTATGGGAGCTGACGGGGGTGAACTCAGCACTCAGGAAGCTGAGTGAGGCAGGAGAATCACTATATTTGAGACCAGCCTGAACTAAATAGTGAGTTCAAGCCCAGCCTGACCTACATAACAAGACACTGTATCTTTAATTAAAAAAAAAAAAAAAAATCAGTATCCTGGCATCACAGTACGAAGATATTTCCCACATTCTGAACCACGGAAGCACTGAAAAGAGGTCCATCGCACCTAGCCATGCTTATTTGGTTTATAGGTTAGATCAATGACCAGAATCACATCAAAACTGCAGGAAATGTTGGTTAGATTCTCTCACTGCCTACATGGACACTAACTACCTGGCTCTGCTAACCAAAGCACTAGCCTGCAGATGGAGGAGGAAAAAACCAACAGGACTACGTTAAAGAGGACATATGTGCCTAGAATCTGGGTCCTCCAAAAGTAAAACACAGAATGTTCCACTTAGCCTGACGATATTATCCTGACATCCCCTTCTCTCTATATTTCTTCAAGATTTCTGGAAAGAGGACATTTTGCCCCAAGTCACTATCCTTGTAAAATGTCAGGACATAGTAATGTGGACAGGTAAATACGGCAAGAATGTAAAACCAGAAAGATGCTATTCTCACAATTCATGCGAGGAGTATCACTCAGTGCGATTTTCTTCAGTGACAGTCAAGCACTGGAAAGGTAACAGCTAAAGCATAAAACTGGCTACTTGGGAATGCAGAAAAATAAAGACTGTAGCAGCACTGTAATCCCAGTTGTGATCTACAGACTGTGAGAATCTATGCACTGACCGTAACAGGACACACGCGAGGGAACTTCTGCTAAGAGTAGTCGGAAGCTCACACAGGCACCGGTACACAAGAAGGGACTCTCAGAGACCCCTCTGTCCACTCCTGAATCCACCCCAGTGCTAAGGACAAAAGTTTGTCTTAGTCTAAGGCAGAAGAGTCTCTCATTTCCCTTTCTACCTGATTTCAAATTATATGAGCAATATAGCAAAAAGATTACCTCCCCAATAACAAATACACTTCCAATTTAAAATCATAATCCCCAGGGGGCTGGGGAGATGGCTCAGTGGAATAAGTGCTTCCTTGGCAAGGGTCTGAGTTCAATCCCTGGTTCCACCAAAAAAAAAAAAAAATAATAATAATAATAATAATAATCCCCAAAAGAAGCTAAGACTATGTGATACTCACAATGATGATCTTAGCTAAAACATCTGTGCAGTTTATAACCTCAGACAGGAGACAGGGAGCACTGGTTACTGAGCTTCCAGTCAGAGAAGCTGGACCTCTGTGACACGTTCTCATTTACCCAAAAAAAAAAAAAAAAAAATCATCTCTACCTCACAGGGCTACCATGAGGATTTTTTTAAATAAGTGATATGCAAGAGAAATGTTTATCATAGTGGGTTATTAAATACTTTAATAGAGACAGACGTCCAATATGTTACTTAAGCTGAGATGCTGCCCATTGTTAATGCTTTCTTCTGGCACACTGGACAGTCCAAAAATATGCTGACTACGTAAATTTACTTCAGAGATTTATGTGTGGCATTTCCTAAATCATCTCCTATGCATTATTTAGGTAACATACACAGGCACTAAGGATAAAGGATAAGGATAGGAAAAATGATACCCTCAGTTAATTACTAGCTATACACCAGCCAGCTTATCAGCACTGCAGAAAATACTGTATGCTAACCCCAACATTATACTTCAGTGAGAGGTAAAAAGTTTAACAAGATTTAGGTTCAGGTCTCTCCTACGCACCTATTATTCTCATTGTTAACTTAGGGCAGTCTGAATAGATGAGTTTGCACTATGAGTCTTTAGTAAGCTGAATGACTACACTATTCACTGAGCAAACACTTTGTGCTAGTAATTACAAAGTGTAAGTCACATTACATAAAAATTTTCTCCTTTAAACTCCAAACAACTTTTAAGATATTTAGTAACTATACTTCAAAATCCCAAGGTCACACAGCAATACTAAAGGAGTAAGCATGAAATGCAAAGCTACCATGTACCAAGGCCTATATATTTTCTTTATGCATTTTTTTTGGTGGGGGGAGTCTCTTTTTTGGGAGATACAGTCTCTCTACGTACTTCAGGTTGGACTTGAGCTCACTTTGTAGCCCAGCTAGTCTGGAGCTCACAACGATTCTCTTGGCTCAGCCTCCTAAGTACTGTCCTATGCCTTCTTTTTTTTTTTTTTTTTTTCAAAATTTTATTGATAAACAGCAATGAGACAGTTTCAAATCAAATCGGAAGTACAGTTTCAACAACTAATACACTGCATATATTCTTCTTAGTGGTTAATTGCTGTACAAGATGCGGACTTGAGATCCTATTTACAAACACCATTAGAACAAATCATTCTATTCATTAAGAGAATGCAACTATATATCTATCCTAACCACTTTGAATACACAAATACAAAATTCTCCTATGCCTTCTTTAAAAAGAAACATGAAATAGTAATAGGGAAATAGTTACTCTTCAGGGCCTCCAAGCAAAGAGGTACAATGAGGAGGAAGTCTGGCACCATAAGAGTTTGACCTGTGTATTCATTAACAATACCGAAGATATTCGGTGTGTTCTGGCACTTTAAAATGTAAATGCTGACTTAAAATCAGTAGATTCACTTCTGCACAAGTAAGACTAATAATATAAATTTGAAGCTCTAACTTGTCTCAGTTCCCAAGATCTGCTCAACCATGTTTTTTTACATTGTTTAGCTTTCTTATTTTTGTTGAGACAAGGTCTCACTTTTTGACTCAGGCTGGTCTTGGAACTATGCAGCCCAGTCTGGCCTCAAATTTAAGAGCAAACCTCCTGCCTCAGCTTCCCAAGTGCTGGGATTACAGTCATGAGTCATCAACCCCAGCTCTTCACTGTTTACATTTTACCAAAATATGCTGCAAATTAAAAGGGAGAGAAATACATGAAGTATATTGTAAACTGTTCAACATGAGTCAAAGGAAGTGAAGATAGAATAGGAAAATGTCTCCAAGAAAAAAAGTTACAATGGGTATTTTTAAAACCATGAGAAAGAAAATGAGCAGAAATTAAACAGTGGGTCTATTTTTCAGTCCTAGAACTCCCTGGAATGAATCCTGAAGTATTTTCATCCTATGTATCTGCAAACAGCTGCAGTGCAGGATGAGGAGTATCTAGCATGAACAAACTGAATTCTGTGGCCCATATCTCAAAAGCTCAGTGACACTGGACTTCCCAAGCTACCCAGGTATACACAAACCTGGTAACAAAAAATAAAATGTTTTCTACAACAAAGTCCAGATTAAACAAAATGAATAAATTATAAAAGATCAAAGTGAGTCAACTGGGCTGGGATATTCAAGATAATGGCAAAGCAAATCTTTCTGCCATTCAAAAAGAGAGAAGTAACATATATAAAACATTATTTTCAAATTGATTCCTCTATCTTACCTATTCTAATACAAACAGCTCATACAGGTCTTCAGCTTCTTAGTAACTCAAACATTTTAAGCACACACTACAACTAGCCCACTTTATTACAAACCCTATTTCACGATAAATAATGTTCCAGGAAGGGTACAATACACTAAGAATACCATTTTCAGCTTCTTTGAACAGAGCTTAAGGTTTCTAAGGCAAAAGACTAAGCTCACAGGTATCACTAAAAGCTATGGCAAAATCTCATGTAAGTACACAAAACTACTGGGAAAAGAAAGCCTGATATTCTCTTAGTAACTCCGAAGAAGAGATGGGGCCAGTAGGTTCAAGCAAACACAATTAACCTAAGCTTTGGCAATTTCAGTCTTTTTCTCACCTTCTTATACACAATTTTTAATATCTATAATTACAACTCTATTTATACTACAGTTGATCTTATATTACAGGGTGAAGCAGGATACAGATTACCAGAATTAACATTTATCTTGAAACATCAGAAATCAAAGTTCTACGGTTAAAAAAAATTAAGCCATTTAAGATTGATTTTTCAATGGTACCACAGGTACCAAACAGCTGTAGTAGGCATAAACTTACTTATAGGCTGAATGCACTTTTGATTACTATATGACCCACAAATGTATCTACTGGGTATAGTACAACTGATTTTATCTATCATAAAAAATGTTGGTTAAGGGGCTGGAGAGATGGCTCAGTGGTGTAAAGCACCTACTTGAAACAAGTTTGGCAAAGCACAGGGACCACATGCCAGCCAGCCCCGCCCCCTGGTGGGCTGAGCTGGCCACACACACACACACACACACACACACACA